AATGTACAAATGTGCTTTACACAATTGATGTATGTATGGATTGTGATAAGAGTTGTATGAGCCCCTAATAAAATGATTAAAAAAAACAAAAAAAATTGATGTATGGATTGAGATAAGTGTTGTATGAGCCCCTAAGAAAATGATTATAAATAAATAAACAAAATAATAATAATAATAATAAAAATTCACAGTCTCAGAAACCCACAGGGGAAGTTAAAAAACAAAGTATATACGGTAACTCCCCATTTCCCCTCAATCACTCCTGCCATAACCCTAAATAACTATTAATCCTATCTGTATATAGGGAAGCAAATAAGCCCACATAGAAGAAGCACACCAGCCTGCGTGATCATGAGGTGTCAACGGGATCAGGTATCAGGTATCAAAAGATCCCAAACAAGTATATTGATGTAAATGAGGGGGTTGGAGTGGAGACCCAAAGCCCATCTGTAGACAGTTGGAGATGCCCCCACAGAAGGGTTATAAGGAAGAGATGATTCAACCAGGGTGCAGTATAGCACCGACTGAACACACATCATTCCTCTAGTTCCTGAATGCTTCTTCCCCCTCACTACCATGACCTAGTCTACTTTACAAATCTGACCAGACCAGAGAACACACACTGATACAGATAAGAGTTCTTGACACATGGAATTCAGGGCAGATAAACCCCTCGGGAACAGTAGTGGGAGTAGTGATATCATGAGGGTAGGGGCTTGGTCAGGGAGGGATACAAAGGGGAAACTCATCACAAGTTTGGACATACCCCCCCCTTGAAGGGGATGGGATGAATAACAGAAATGTGGGTGATTGAAGACAATGGACAGTGTAAGATACGAAATAATTACAACAATATATAATTGATCAAGGATTCATGAGGGTAGGGGAGGGAGTGGAATACAGAAGAGCTTATACCAAGGGCTCAATTAGAAAATGTTTTGGAAATGATGATGTCAGCTTATATACAAATATGTTGGATACAATTGATGTATGGAATGTAATAAGAGCTGTAGGAGTCCCCAATAAAATGATAAAAAAAAAAGAGTTACAGTCTCTGAAACTCACAGGGGCAGTTCTGTGCTACTATATAGGGTTGCTATGGGTTAGCATCGAGTTTTTTAGTTTTTTTGATGCATAACATTTGAAGGAATTATTTTGCACATTTAAGTAAAAGAAGCTATAATACAAAAAGTCACATATGATCCCATTTATATAGATAAGGAGCCCTGGAAGCATAGTGGGTTACACGTTGGGTTGTTAACCAGAAGGTAAGCAGCTCAAAACTACCAGCTGTCTTGCAGGAGGACGATGGGGGTGTTCTACTCCCTTAAAGAGTTAGAATTGTAGGAAACCCAAAGGGGTAGTTCTACCCCATCTTATAGGGCTGTCATGAGTTGGAATCAACACAATAGCAGTGTTTATATTTAAAATCGATATGCTGCTATTTTTCTTTTTCTTTTTTGGATTTTTGCCATTATATAATTCTAGCCCCAATCTAAGAACAATTCGTTCTTTTGTTTTGTTTTGTTTTGTATTTCTCTTTTTTAAAAAATCATTTTATTAGGGGCTCATACAACTCTTATCACAATCCATACATACATCAATTGTGTAAAGCGCATTTGTACATTCATTGCCCTCAT